CCTGCCACGCGTTTGCTCGGCAGCAGCATGCCTAACTGTGCCACAGGGGGCAGCTGCCAGAACATTCAGCAGATCTACCATCCTGCTATTTTAGTGCCCAAACTGTCACATGACCTGCTGTCCATTTAAAGGGAAATCAACCTTCCAGCTGCACACCCCAAAATAAATAAGAACGAATAGCAACACTTTGGAAAGAGTTCTGTGATGAAAGATGGACATCGAAAGCCGGCACGACCTCAGTTTTGGAATGTCCACTCCTTGAACCTGAGGGTTCAAACATAATGCTGCGGACGGGAACCGACTCACAGCCGGCCCTCCAGCGGGTGTTTGGAGGCAGTAGCCACACGGGAAGGGACTGCCCATCTTTCCCCCACGGAGCAGCTGGTGGAACCAGAGAGGTGCTGTCTTTGGGTCAGGACTGCGTGTCCCCCTGACAAGGCCCCAGAGCTCCCTTAGCTGGGGGACAGGCACTTCAGTCACAGTTCAGAGACTGGACCCCAGAGGGTAGGATACTGCGTGTGCCGCCCAGGAAGAGCAAGGCTGAGGAGACCACTGGCCTCTCTCCCTTCGGCTTCACGTGGCCAGCAGTGATCATGCCCCCCCACCCCCATCCCACAGCACAGCTCCCCGGAAGAGGGAGCATGGGCTTCTGTCAAATGAGGCGCTGATGAGGTGGTGGGCACGGCCTAGGTGTGAGGCCGCCGCCATCAATTCCCAGTACGGTGGAGGCAGGCGGCGTGGGAGTTCAGGGCAGGGGGAGCCCTCCGTGTGGGCTGGTGGGAAGAAGATGATGCTGGAAGGGACCGAGTCTGACAGGAGAGGCAGAGAGGAGTGGGATTCTCAGGGGGCCCGAGGGTGTGAACATGTGGCCAAGGGCTGTCCCAGGTGGAGCAACCTGGTTGGCCAACCTGCGTGGGACCTCTGGGACCCCGTGGGGAGTGTCCACCTGATTCTCCTCCTTATCAATGACCCAACACTACTCTGCTCCAGGTGGCGTGCTCTGCACCAGAAATTTCCACAGGGACAAAGTGAGGACGCTTTTACGTGGTCCCTCAGGGCACCTGGTGGCATGGCAGGGTGAGTGCCGGGCAGGTGACTGAAAGTGGGCAGTGCTGTCACCTGGGGCCCCTAGGAGTCAAATTTGACTTGATGGCCCTCAGTGACAATGGTGAATTGTCACCGAGGGGCAGGAAAGCACTCAGATGACACGCTGTCAGCCTGGGGAGGGGATATGGGGTCCAATCGTGTGCCCCACAAGAGCAGGCAGGGCTTGGGGCTGAGAGCAGCCTTGGATAGGACCCTCCCCTCTGAGCTCAGCATCCATCGGCCTGGATGGGGGCCTCACGGGAAGCCCTGAGCGTGCCTGGCACCAGGGTGGGGACGGAGACCCATGTCTGGAGCAGTGAGTCCTTACACCCCGTCCTGGGGGGAGGTGGCTGGTGCACTGAGTGGGGGGCTAAGCACCCATGGACGCTCAAGCTCTGAGTCCCATACCTACAGACAAGGCGCCCTGGTGGTACAATGGTTAAGTGCACAACTGCTCACTGAAAGGCTGGCAGTTCAAATCCACTCACAGCTCCAAGGGAAACACTACCTTCGAATCAGAACCGACGCACCACTGACTGACTGGGCTTCCCAGGCTGTGTCGCTGGGAGGAGATGGTCTAGCTCCCTCCCCCGGAGCCCCTGGTGGATTCACAGCCTTTATCTGAGCGGCACAACCCCCAATGGATGAGGCTGTGGGGTCCCTGAGGGAAAGAGCTGGAGATCTGTTCCTCTAAAGGTGACAGCGAGGGGACCCTGGGGAGCCCTCCTGCATCACATAGGGTCACAGTCACAATCACTACTGACTAGAGGGATCTAACAACAACATCAACAACCCCCAGAGCCAAGCCTGGGCTGCCTGGGGTCATCGGGGACAGCAGGGTGGGACCACGTGAGAGGGGGAACCAGTCAGTGTGCGTCATACGTGGGTCACTGTCACCAGCAGGGCAGCGGCGTGATCTCACAGAGCTACTTCCACCCTGCCCCCGCAAACCCCGCTCCAGGAGACTGGCGATGGCAGTATGGCCTAACGGTCGGGGGACCCAGCAGCCAGGCGGAACCGACCCAGAAAGAAGGGGGCCCCGGGCCTCTCACCGTATATGACGTCCTGTCTCTTCACCACCTCTCGCTTCTGTGCCTTCATGTACACCGGGTCCACTGACAAGCTCCAGGACTCAGCCTCCAGCTCGTGGGCATCGGATTCGAACTCGCTCCTCAGAGGGGCGGCGTAGAAGTCTGAAAGGGGGAGGCCATGCTGTGTCTAGGCTGGGCTGGTCAGCGCTTCCCTCCACTCCAGCCTTCCCTGGTACACCTTTCCACGCCCCAGGTCAGCACCGCCTGTCCCTCTGCCCCCTCCCAGGGACACCTTTCCATGCCCCGAGGTCAGCACCGCCTGTCCCTCTGCCCCCTCTCAGGGACACCTTTCCACATCTCATGCTGGCTGATGTGGGGGCCCCTGAAGACCCCTGCAGCACAGAAGAGCTCGTACCTTCAACAAAAATGGACTCGGCATTGGAGGAGGTCAGTGAGACAGAGTCGTCCCCTGTCTGCTTGAGTTTTAGAAACCCCGAGTCGGCTTCATCCATTTCTCCTGTGATGGGTCTATGCACAAATCATAGGAACATGGATTCTGAACATGGGAGTCACTCTTGGACACAAACCCCACTCCCCGAGCGAGATCGCCTCTGACCCCACCCGACGCTACACTGCTGAGGGCTGTTCTGTCCTTGACGGGGACTTTGCCCTGGCTCAGCTCAAGCTTAAAAGTGGGGGCAGCTGTTCTGTCAGTACCAACAGTGGCATGCCTTCCAGTGGCACGATCCTGAACATTCAGGAACATTCTAAGAGCTCATTAACTGGAGGCTTCCTTCACCAACCCTGATACTCCCAGTGGTAGAGTTAATGTGCTCACCTGCTAACAGGTTGGGGGTTCGAATTCACCCTGAGGCCCCTCAGAAGAAAGGCCTGGTGATGTTCTGAGAAGTCAGCTGTTAAAAGCTCTGGGAGCACAGCTGTACCCTGACACACAGGGGGTCACCTGAGTCAGGGCTGACTTGATGGCACTCTTGACCGACTTCCGGAGCCTACAGAAACCCCCAGAATCCCTCCCACCAACAGTTGGGGGCCAGCCTCACAGCTGGGGACGAGGGTGATGCACGCTTTCCCCCTTCGTTGTGAAAATCTATAGAACACAGCATTTGCGAGCATCCTGCCTCCCTCAGAAATCCAGTGGCCAGGATGATGGAGCACCGACACGGGCTGCCGAATCTCCCATCGCCACAGATGGTAATGGGAAGAGGGGCCCCTTCGTGGAGCCCGAAGGTGGTGCCCCAGCCCCCTTCACTCCAAGGACCCCCAGCTCCTCAGGTCCGCGCTGGGGCAGCCCTGTCTCAGACATGAAGTGAGCCCCACAGCTCCTGCACAGCCCCCGTGAAGATACACTGTATGGGGCACACTGAGTGATGGGCAGCCTCCCGGGTACCCCAAGACACTGTGCCCTGGGGATAAGTGCAGGAAGGTTCTGGAAGAACTCCACAGTCCCCAATGGCTGCAACACCCCGCTGCTCTGGACAAAACGAGAAGGGGTCCCCCGGAGGCAGGTGCTAATGGACATGTCAGCTCTCACCACGGGCGCTCGGTGAAGGGGCTGCTTACCCGAGTCCTGTCCCCACTCCGGCTGTGCTCGGTGCTGGCGGTGAAACCCCCTTCGGTGGGACCGTCATGCCGACATTCCTGGGTAGGGCTGGGCTGCTGTCGGGGGACAGGAGGGTGCCCCGGGGATGCTCCTTCAGCGAGGCTGCGACGGAGGCAAACACAGAGTTGGTGCTAAGGAAGTGTGCCGGGCAGCGGAAGGTGGCCGCCCGGAGGCCCCGTTCGGGCTGTGGCCGCAGTGCGGACAGGACCCGGGAGGTGAGCAGCTCGTTGTCCAGGAAGACCTTCTCGTTCCATTTCCGAGGGAAAGAGCTGTAGAAGGACAGCTCTGAGCGGCCCGGCAATGCCCCGCTCTGGGGGCTGCCCTTGGGGTGCGCATTCCCCATGGCCACACTCGGGGCGCTGGGGTGCTGCGTGGCTGCGGAGGTGTTTTTATGCCTGTGGCGCGATCCTTCTAGAAAGGTGAGGCTGCAGCTTACTGTATTGGCCAGCCGGTGGGGCAGGAAATTGGTCCCCACTGTGAGCGCCTGGGGTGGCGATTACACCGCGTGCTCTGTGCTCGCTCTCCTCCGGGTCCGCGGCCGCAAGACTGACAGTGCAGCGACCCTGGGATCAGGAGCCGGGACCTGTCTGCTCCAGCCAGCGCTGCAGAAGTGATCCAATTAGTCTACGGCTGCTGTCAGGGCGACTTGGGGACCCCAGGACCCCAGCAGGCAGGCATCTCACTGACAGGCACGGCGCTTTGAGCAGCCTTTTATCCCTGAAGCGGATACAGGCTCTTAGGCCAGCTCACACAGCCCTTTAAACCTCCCTCCTGTGCAAGATGCATCCCCCCCCCAAAAGCGCGATTTTCACATTAACCTGGGGGTCCCAAGATGCTCGGCTGCTGCCTGGAAAGCCCACCCCCTCGGAGGAAAGGCCTGGCTATCCACTCTTAAAAACCAGCCACTGAAAACACAGCGCTACTCTGATGTGAGGGGGTGCAGGAAAGGGGGAGGCTCAGGGCTACTGTGAGCTGTAGACGATTTGATGGCACCTAACAGCACAACATCACAATAACTGACACCCGCCCGGGAGCCAGGGCATGCCACCAGTGCTAACGGTCTTGGGGAGCTCATCTGAGTTCACATCGCAAGGCACTTGTTGCTAGTGTTGCTGGGGGCTGCTGGGTCCCTTTCCTCTCATCATGACCCAATGTCCCATAAGATTTCCTGGGCTGTGATTTTTATGGGAGCAGTGGGTTCGAACGGCCAACCTTGTGGCTGGCAGCTGGGCGCTTAGCCTGTGGCTCCACCTTGTAGGATGCTTGTACCCTCGACTTGTATTTTACAGAAAACATATAACCTCTGAAAGCTAAGTGGTCTTAGCCTGAGTCCTTCTGCTCAGTGGACAAGCCAATAACTTCCACTGGCCCTGGTGAGAAGGGTGCCAGGCTCAACCATCTGCAAGGTGGAGGTCCTGTCCTGAAGCTCTTCCTGGCAAGGACAAACAGTGGTCCGAAGAAGTCTGGGAGCCCCTGGTGGTGCAGACGGTTAAAAGCCCTGACGCTGACCACAAAGCTGGCAGTCTGAATCGCCCCCGAAACACCATGGAAGAACAGCCTGGCAATCTGCTTCCCAAAGATCACAGCCCTAATACCTGATGAGGGGCTGTACCCACACACATGGGGTGCCACACATCAGGGTGGATGCCTCCCTGGACAGCAAACAGCAACACCATTTCCTGAAATGCAGCGGAGCCTAGAAGAGGCGGGAGGGCCCAGCCACTGCTCTTCCAGCATCCCACAGCCAGGCGTCTCCACGCTGGGACAGCATCTTCCCACAGGCGCCCTGCCAGCTGACGGTCACATTCCGTGTGCACAACGACAAAGGGGAGACCAAGGATATGGGGGACTGAGGGTGTGGGTGGGCAGAGGTCACAGGGGGGCTGAGGATACAGGGGAGACTGAGGATGTGAGGAGATGGAGGATGTGGGGGGGATCAAGAATATGGGAGACTGAGGATACGGGGGAAAAGAGGATGTGAAGAGACCAAGGATTTGGGGGTCCAAGGATACGGAGGACTGAGGGTATGGGGGGACAGAGGGTATAGAGGGACTGAGGATACAGTGAGAGCAGAGGATGTGGGGGGACCGAGGATATGGGGGGACTGAGGATATAGAAGGGACAGAGAATGTGAGTAGACCGAGGATGTGGGGAGACCAAGGATATGGGGGACTGAGGATATAGGGGGGACAGAGAATGTGAGGGGACCAAAGATATGGGGGACGGAAGACATAGGCGGTGTTAAGTCTGGACAGGGGGGCCAAGGGGAAGAATGAAGAATTCAAACACTGATAAGAAGAGCAAACGGCCTAACCTGGCTGGCTGAGCCAACAGAACCATAAATCACAGTGGAATGTACCTCCCCTCCTTCCCTAAAGACTGTTATAAAAACCTCCTCAGTAAGTTCAAGGCCATCTCCGGAATGAGGAACCTCACCCCGGAGCGCCCCTATTCCCCCCTTTAATAAAACTTTCTCTCATTCTCTCTGATTCCTTAAGCCTGCTAACTTAACAGGGGGAACTGGGGATATGGAGGCCGAGGATATGGGGTGGGGACCAAGGATACAGGTGGGAACAAGGATACGGAGGGACCAAGGGGCTGACGATATAGGGGGGTTGAGGATACGGGGGGACTGAGGATATGGGTGGAGGGCAGAGGATACGGGGGACCAAGGATAAGGGGGACTGAGAGTACAAGGAGGATCAAGGATGCAGGGGGGCTGAGGATATGGGGGAATTGAGGATACAGAGGGGATCAAGGATACAGGAGGAGATGGAGGGACCAAGGATATGGTGGGACCGACGATACAGGGGGTTATGGAGGGACTGAGGATGGAAGCAAGGATTCGGGAGGAGGCTGAGTATACAGGGGGGTCTGAAGATATGGAGGGACTGAGGACACGGGCGAGGACATGGGGAGGCTGAGGATACA